AATGACTGGGGGAAGGGGGGAGAGAGGGAGAATCCACCCGTTGCCTCCGGTACACGCCCTGACCCGGATCGAACCCGAAATCTAGGTTTGTGCCCGGATGAAACCCGCGGCCTTCCGGTGCAAGCGCGGGCAGGCCGCTCGGACCGAGCCACAGCGGCCTGGGCGGAGTGTCTAATCTTTGCGGAGAGTCCCTCCTGGGCGGGGCCCCTTCACTCCTCCAGGCAGAGTGCGTTTCACAGCTGCTTTACTCCTCCACGGACCCGTCGGGACCGTCCCGGCAAAGCGCGGGGAAACGCAGCGGCTGCCGCGAACAGCTTGGTAAAGGAGAGAAAAGCCTCAGCTCCGCCGGTTGCGTCTCTTGCCTACCTCCTTTTCCTGTAACCACTTGGATATGACTAGGACGCGCGTGACTCAGTACATCAGCTGTTTGAAAACCCTTCCTGCCGAAAAAACTAGAACTCCTCTTAAACCCCTTCCTTTCTTCCTCCTTTCGCTCTCGCCACTCACCCCTCCGCGCCCCGAGAGCGCCTGCGCAGGCTGCGCGGTCGCAGAAGGCGCGCGGCGAAGCCCCTACGGTCTTCGCTTTGCGGCGCGGCCGTAAAGCGCTGTTGCGCACCGGAGGCGTCACGAGTCCGGCCGCGGGGGCTGGGAGCTTCCGCGCCCCTGGGGGCTCAGGCCGCCTTAGTCGCACTGGGGGAAGTGCTGGGCTGTTATTTTGGAAGGGCTCCCGGTCTCTCTGTTATGAGATTAGACCTAGCGACTCCCCCTCGGGAACGGGAGGGCGGCCGGGTCCTAGTGCCCGCTAGATCCCGGGGCCCGGGGCTGTGGGCGGAGGCAGCGGCCCTAGCTAAGCGCGACCTCGCCGCCTGAAGCCTCCGCGGGGCGCCGATGGCCGGACGCATCCTGGGGAAGACTTTAGCCACGGTGTCCCTCTCTGTGGCCTTTGCCTCTGTGGCTGTCAAGTCCTTGGGCTTCTGCAGCGTCCCCGAGTGCAGGTATTTCCCGTGCCCCGGCTGGCCCCTCCCTCGTCTTTAGGTCGCAGGTGGGAACCAGCTGCCGGTCCGGCGGATTCTATAGGCGTTGCTTGCTGCTTGGATTTTTATAGCCATCTATATCTATATCTATATCTATATCTATATCTATATCTATATCTATATCTATCTATAGTGTTTCTATTGTGTTCTCTATAGATATATTGATAGATAGAGATATATGTGCTTTCAAAAAGGCTCAGAATGTTTTTATCTGCCCTTTGAAAAAAACTCCTGCCAACCTTCATAAATCACCAACGTTGTCCCCAGAGAGTTTAAATGGAGCTTGTTTGGTGGTGTTCGTGCCGTTTTCTTCTGGTTAATTCTTAAAACCTTATTATTGAAATTAACACATGCACATAGTTTAAAGGTGTGGACAGTACAGGGGGTGTAAAATAAAAATGTAAGTTGTCATTCTTCCTCTGAACCTCGGTGTAGATAAAATGTATTGTCTTCCTCTTTTTCTTGATTTGTCAGCTCTGGATAAATTTAGGGATTTATTGTGCCTCACACTGCCTCCTTTTATTTTCCTCTTTTCAGGTTTTTATTCTTTGAGTCCATTGTTCAGGAAACACATGGCGGCTACTAAATTACTCATGCAAATTTAAGACCTGTGCGTTCTGTCAGTCGTCTCCTTACATGGAATTGTAAATTTTCACAAGAACCTGTTCCTTCTCTAATTGCTCTCTTTAATGGAAGCCTTTTTCTTATTTTATGGACACAGAAAGTTTTGCATCTATAAAAATGATAATTAGAATAAAAATTACCTTCTATTTCCTGAGTTATCTGTCTCTTTTGGGTAAGTGTTTCTGTAAATTTTGGGTGGTTCTTCCTGTTTTTTCTCAAACATCTGTTGGACACCAGCTATCCATTTATATTTTGATTCATGTAGGTAATAATTGTTTTCTCTAAATGGGAGGACTGATTGACTATTGGCACCATGTACCAGGGTGCCTAGACTGGAAGGTTTCAGTGGAGTGTGTGTGAGCAGGTGGACAGGCTGGGAACCTACCCTTACCCCTTTTCCTTAGGCTTTACACTGGAGGAGCAACTTCTTTGTTGAGCATAGCTGCCTTAACTACTTCCTCGGTGTGAATTGTAGAGATATTAAGCCTATGTTTCTATTGTGTTCTCTAACACCGAGATTCACAATAAGAGACCTAGTTCTTCGTTTTCTTGAACTTTTGGCTCTATCCTGAGGGCAAAAGAAACTGTTGCTGACTTTTTGTTTGAAGGGTGGGGAGGGAGGAGGGCAGATTTGCATGGTTACTGTCCCACTGTCCACTTAGGACATTTGGATCCACTTATGTCAATCTTGAAACCTCTCAGGGTCCTCTTGTAGGAGTGGCATCTCTTCCTCACCCACCCTTTTGTGAATATTCTCAAATACGGTTTGCTCTACTTTGGTTTGTAGGTCAACATGATTCCACCTACTCAAAATTTTGCTGAAATTGGTTTAAATCTCTCATTCACTGGTAGTGGTCTATTCTCCCTCTTGCTCTGGATGTTTGCACTTATACCTATCTATCTCTTCAGTGGGATTGGGGAGGGAAGGAATAAACGTCTATGCTGTCTGGAAGTCACTAATGCTGTTTTGATAGATGCCACTAGAACAATGTAAAATTGTTTGGCAGTTATTCTTCATTTTTATTTTTATTTTTTAAAAATATATCTTTATTGATCTCAGAGAGAGGAAGGGAGAAGGGAGAGAGAGAGAAACATCAATGATGAGAGAGTCATTGGTTGAGCCCGCAACCCGGGCATGTGCCCTGACCGGGAATCGAACCCTGATCGCCTGGATCCTAGGTCGATGCTCAATCACTGAGCCATGCCTGGCCGGGCAATTCTTCATTTTTATAATGCTGGGAACCCTAGGTGAAGCAAGGGTATATTTAAAACCAATGACTTCTTACTGGCTTGGAAGAAAAAGCCGAAAGTTAAGCCAACAAGTATGTGTTGAATATCTGGTATCTTATATTGCAAGGCATCCTGGAAGAGACAAAAGAAATTTAGCACCTAGAATTTTACTACCCTTTAATAATTTGGATAAATCCAGAAAGTCATAGTCTTGCAATTGGTGTTTGTGATTTGACTAGAAAGTTGCAAATGCCTATTTTCTAGGAAACCAAATATGATAGTATATAAAGATGTGAGTGCTTCCAAATTTTCCATCAGGATTTATCTACCATGTGTGGAGATTGGTATATATTTTATTTTCGTGAACACAAATAAGTATCTGTGTGAGCTAAAAATGGAGATAGTATAGCGTAATCTTAAGAGACTGCAATGTGGACCCAGCTTGCCTGGGATTGTTCCTGATTCTGCTTTCAGTTTTGTGACCTTGGTAAACTTAATTAGCCTCTCAGGGCCTTAGTGGTCTTACTTCTGAAATAAGGATAATATTACCTAATCTTAGACTTTTGAGGATCAAATGAGTTAATATATTATAGCATAAGAAAAATGTCTTGCACGTAACATGTACTATGCACATTTAATTATTAGTATTGCAAAGTTGCTTTATCTCAAAGCACCACATCAGTACTGCATTTCTTCAAGTGTGACTGTTCTAGGAACTGTTTTTTGCTTTGTAAAATGAACTTTATCAGCTACTTAATTCCCATTTGCTTGGTCAAATATAATTTTTGTACCTATTCAGTAATCCAGTAAAAAGATCTGTGCTGTATATATGTATATTATATATATTCTTGTTCTGGTCCCTTTCAGTGAATTACATTAGCAGATAAAAACAGCAGCTATAAGTACTTCTTAATGTGGTAAGATACATAGTTTTTTAATTTTTGCTGTTTTTATTGCAAAATTAAATTTCTTTTGAAAAGTAAACAATCAGGTGTGTAAGTTTATCTTGTCAGAGTGGGTAGCAGATTTGTGGAATTGCACATGCTTAATGCTAAACCAGGGAACAAAGAGCCTCATACTTGGAAAACATTTTTGATACTTAGTTGGGATAGAGTGGAACAAGATCAGTGTTGCCTGTTGGGCATCTCATTAACACCCTTGACTTTTTTCTTACCCTACTCCTAAACCATGAAAAATAACTCTAATTTTGTAATAGAATTGAGTTAGAGACTAGGGCTCCATATGTAAAATTTTGCTTTTCTGAACCTTTGTATCTGAAATCTATTTGCATACACATATTGCATATATGTTCATTTTTACTGAGTATGGGTTTAGGTTGTGTGGTGATCTTATTTTGAGTGCTCATTATTTGGATTTCCAAAGCTACAGCAACTTAGCCAAGCAGAAATCATCATAACATGAAAATAATGAATCTACCACTTTTAATAAAATTAGTCACATGTCCAATACCATTCTCCCACCTTACACTTTGAAGAGCGCCTCCAGGATTGTTAACTTTTTTATGGGTCAGGCTTTCCCTGATTATTGGGTGTTTGATAGGACTTTACAGATGCTAACTCAGTGCAAAATGAAATAGCAGTTGTTTCAGTCTTCAAATAGGATGAGGGGAACAGCTTGAGTTGCATATAAAGGTACAGACAAACAAGAATAGGAAATAATTAAACCAGTTAAGAATTAAAGAAGAAAAGACAGTTTCTCATAAAACTTATATGATCCAGCAATCACCTTCTTTGGTATTTACCCAAATGAATTGAAAATGTAATGTTCACACAAAAACTTGAACACTGATGTTTATAGCTGCTTTATTCAAAATTGCTGGAACTTGGAAGCAACCAAGATGCCCTTCAGTAGGTGTATGGATAAATAAACTGGTACACCTGGACAATGGAATATTGTTCAACTCTTAAAAAAAAAAAAGCTGTTAAGCCATGAAAAGACAAGGAGGAAGCTTAGGTGCATATTACTAAATGAAATTAACCAAGGCTACATACTTATGATTTCAACCACATGACATTCTGGAAAAGGCAAAATGAAGACAGTATAAATATTCATGACTGCTGGGGGTTGGGGTGGGGGGCAGGTAGGAATGAACTGGTAGAGCTCAGAGGATTTTTTAGGGCAATAAAACTACTCTATATGATACTATAATGGCTGATACATATTATACATTTGTCCAAACGAATAGAATATATGACACTAAGAGTAAATCCTAATGTAAACTATGGAATTTGGGTGATAATAATGTGAATGTAGGTGCTTCTGTTGAAACAAATTTATCCCTCCATGGGGCATGTTGATAGTGGGGGAGGGTCTGTGTGTGTTGGGGGTGGGTGATGGGGCTATTTAGGAGCTCTGTGCTTTCCACCCAGTTTTGCTCTGAACTTACATCTGCTCTAAATAAAATTTTACACCTCCTCTAAGAAATAGTCTATTAAAAAAAAAAGGCAGGTAGAAATCTTGGCTATGTTCTTCAGTTCACAGAAACAGGTACATGGAAAATAAAATACTATTGCTCGTGTTAAAAAAAAGTTACAAGGCCCAGCCGGTGTGGCTCGGTGGTTGAGTGTCAATCCATGCACCAAGAAGTCACCTGTTTGGTTCCTGGTCAGGGCACATGCCAAGGTGGTGGGCCCGATCCCTGGCAGGGTGGCATGCTGGCGGTAGTCGATAGATGTTGACATTTCTCTCATCGATGTTTCTATATCCCCCTCTCCCTCCTCTCTCTCTCTAAAAATCGATAAAAACATATTAAAAAAAAAAGTTGAAAGGCCCAGAAAGGATAGTTTCAAGAAAGAATGATTTGAATATCAAAGGATTAAGGGAGGTCTTGGGAAAGTTTTGATGAAGGCTTCTAATATTTTGGCCAAAATTATCCCCTATGATTTGTGAAGGTAAAAAGAAAAGTGAAGGTTGCTCTATTATGAAGTTATACGAGTTTGTTGAAAACAAAATATTTGATTAATTCTTTGTTCTAAGACTTAGTATATAGATTTGGTTATAACCTAGGTTACTTAATATAAAATTTATTTTCATAATTTTAAAATTTATTTTTAAAGATGAAGCCCCAATCAAACTCCTTTTCACCA